ACTAAATAGTCATATAGGAATCTTAACCTCTCTGTGTCTCAGTTTGTAAAACAGAGATAATTATAGCGCCTTCCCCACCAAACTTTTGTTGAGTATTTACGTGTAAAGAACTTAGCACAGTGCCTGAATGATAATACATTATCAGTAAATATTTACTACTATTGTTACCTATGTTTTAGTGTCATCTTCATCTAAAGGACATATTAACTCTAATATTTCCATTTGATTTTGCTTTAAAGATTGGTGGAATTGGCCTTGATTTTATTCTACAGTTCTTCCAAATTATATAACCTTGAATTTTAATGTATTTAAACAAGTGTGTGCTAAGAAGAACACCTAGTATTTAATGAACATTATTAACAGGCACTTTGCTGGGTTTTTTTTTTTTATATAGTGGACAAAAACTAAGGAGATTATTTCTGAAAAGTTTCTTGAGGCTAGACATGAAATTTTGCAGCAAACAATTCTGCTGAAAGAGGTCATTCAGCCATCCTCCTGAGGAATTGGAACCTGAGTTAAATCTGAAGCAAGGGTTCAGATTTAATTTTCCTTCTCAGGGTAAGTAAATTCTCTGCCAAAGACAGACCTTCATTCCCTTCCCTTCTCCTCTAAGAAATGTCTTTTATTGTCTGCTAGACAAATTCAACTCATAAGACTATAAAGTTAGAATATGAAATCACATACGCTTTTCACTATCTCCAGCAGAGTTTAGGCTTGTAACAAGCTTCAAGATACCTGAGAAGACCTTTTGTTTCAGGGCATGAAATGATTACATTAAAATTGTTCTTTAATAATTAAATGTGCCATCTGTGTGAGGCAAAGTATGACCTTTCACCCAGGATCTCTCAGCCTGGTCTAGAATTTCTGCAGTTGGCACATATGGTATCAGAAATCCATTGCTATTCTTCCTTTGAAATATTAGAGGAGAGGACTTAGAGCAGCTGTTTTTGCGCTGCCAGATTTCATTGAAACATGGGTTTTAAAAGCTCTTGGCTTGTCATTTTGAGTTAGCCTACCTTAATCACAAATCTCACCATAATATAATTCCATTGATGCCTGAAACTCAATATAGCGGAACATTTGCTGAACAATGCACTTAACAACAATAACCAACCAGAATGTACATTTTCTATTGAAATGTCCTTTTTCATGTTCTTCATACCCTCAAAAATCTCTAAGAGATTACAAGCACCCCTTTTTGTAGAACAATGAAATACCAAGAAAACAATCGCCATCATACTCTTTCTCCTGGTGGCTATGTAAGTAAAGGGACTGTGACATTTGGAGAACTCTGCTTCACTACAGCAGAAGTACTGAAAAATTGATGCAACCTTGTCATTAAGCCAGCTGTAGTAATTAGACATCAAGTGATGAAATCACTTGCATGTTTGTCTTAATGGACAGCTATGTCTTTTTTTTTAAAGATTTATTTATTACATACAAGAGCTGGGGTACAGGCCAGAGATGTGGGGGGTGAGAGGATCCACCAGAGACAGCACGGGGAACAGAACAGGCAGACTGACTGAGACACACTGCTGAGGAGAGCAGGGGGCAAGACAGGAGAGGTCTGCCTCGCCATGTGGGTTTCTCCCTGGCCAACCAGGGTACTGAACTCGTGCTGCAGAGACACGAGTGGATTGCTTCATAGTGCGGTGCTCAACCCTTTGCGCCACCAGGGAGGCCCATGTCTTAATGGACAGCTATGTCTTAATAGGAAATGTTCACAGCCCAGAGATGTACAGGTACAGTGAGTGATCAGAATGAAGGAATATCAGTTACCATAAAGATAATTTCTCTGTGTGTTTGGGGGAAGAGAGCATAGATTGGCATTAACAGTGCTCACTAATTAATCTGTAGTGTCCTGGGAATGTTCATTTGCTCACCTTCAACAGGATGTTTAGTTATTAAAGTTCAACAATTAGACTACATTTGAAAGTTTTAAATGTTGACTTTAATGCTTCTTTTGGAGATAGTCAAGTTTTTACTTCCATCTTAAAATGTCGACTTATAAAGTCAGAAGCAAAGATAAGTGAGCTTGCTTATTTAAAAAGTATACTGCAAATGTTATTTTTAAAAGTCAAAATGTGGGGAACTCTGAGTTCGGCTATCTGAATTTGTTGCTCACATAAACTTATAACTGGGAATTAAGAAAAATTATCCTGTTTGCTTTATTTTAATTTTTTAAAGATTTATTTATTTATGCATGCAAGAACTGGAGTGTAAGCCAGAGGTGTGGGATGTGAGAGGATTCACCAGAGACAGTGGGGAGCAGAACAGGCACATCAACTGAAATACACTGTTGAGGGAAGCAGTGGGGGAGGCAGAAGTCTGCTGTGCCATGTGGGTTGCTTCCTGGACTGCTGGGAATTGAACTCATGCTGCAGTGGCTGGCAGTAGCTTGATAGTGCTGTCTTTAATCCCAGTGCCACCAGGGAGGCCCCTGTTTGCTTTATTGATGCATTTATTTTATTCAGGAGCCAGATGGAATTCACTCCATTGACACAAAGTTAAAATAGGATATACTCGCCCATTTGTCCCCTTAGCAAGATTTTAACCCATGGGGACAGATCATGCTTATTCACCCATTCATTTATTCATTCAAAAAATATTCATGAGTTCCCTTTTAATGGGTACTGGAATACCACCATGAATGAGAATGACATTTAGGAACTCAATCTTGGATGAATACAGGGAGCCAAATATGTAAAATAAATATCTATAATACAATGTTTATATAGAATGTATATATAGCGTATACCTGCAAATATATGTATATTTATATAAAATATATATTTATATAATATTTATACATTTGTAAAACAGTGGAGAGGGTTATTCATTTTGTGAAAGGAATGCTGATTATTTACCAAGTTACCCTCCAAATCCCGTCTCCACCCTTCTCTGCCCTAGTCTAACCAGTATGGGTTGCAATGGCTGAGTTTCTTTACCCCTCTGACTTTGGGAGGATAAATAGAAGGAAGAGATCAGGGATTTATTCCCACTACTTCCTCAGTCAAACTATTTCCTCTATCTTATTACCACAGCTCCTACCAGGTAGCCCTTTTTCCATTCTCTCTGGATTTCAAGCTCTGCTCTTTGCTTTGCCCCTTTAGCTCCAGGACTGACAATACCTTCCCTTAGTCCTTGGGTGCTTCACTTGGGTTCTTATTACTCCTGCCCACACCTCTATATTTTAGTCCTTTCATTGAATTCTCTTCAGTTAACCCTTGACTAACACAGAGAAGGGAATACAGAAGATAATCTGGAGGAGGTTCCTTTACTTTTTAAATGTTCAACATGTCTCCAGTGAATCCTCTCACCTCCCTCACCTCTGGCCTAAACCCCAGTTCTTGTATGCATAAATAAATAAAAATAAATCTTAAAAAAAACCAACAACAACAAAAACTTGGATAGGTCTGAGCAAAGCTATACAGATTAAAAGCATGCCATTTCCATGGCCACCAACAGATGGCATTAGCAGTCATGTTGGTCATTTGGGCCTTGCATTGTTTTTCACTTGAGTTTACTACAAGTCAAAGACAGGGGCCTCGAAAGAAACCTACACTTCTAGCACCTTGAGCTTGAACTTCCATCTTCCACAGACTTTTGTTAAATCACCAGTCTGTAGTGTTTTGTTATGGCAGCCCAAGCAGACTAAAGCAATAACTAATGAACAATAATACACAAGACACTAGGACAGGTGACTGAGGCAATGAAAAAACAAATGTGTGGTGTGTGTATATGTGTGTGTGGCTAAAGGATCCTAGTTAATATCAAATGTCTGTCAGCATTAGTAGAGGGCTTAGAGGTTATTCCAAAACTTAAAGTGAAGAATAACCTAGCCTTTCTAGGTTATTTGGATTTGGATTTGATACTATGAATCAAATTAGGAAAACAGGAGGAATAGCAAATCTGATCTTGAGCATACTAAAGTTGAGGTGTCTGAAGATCATTGAAAGAACTTGGAATATGAGACCAGAACTAAGGTGATAACTGATTGGAGCATACAGATTCAATTAAAAATTCGGGGCCTCCCCTGGTGGCGCAGGCGGTTGAGCGCCACGCTGTGAAGCTGTCCGCAGCCTCTGCAGAGCTGGTTCGATCCTGGCCGGCTGGCGAGGTCCCATATGGCACAGAAGACCTCTCCTGTCTCTCCCGCTGCTCCCCTTAGCAGTGTATTTCGTCAGTTTGCCTGTTCTGTTCCCCGCTCTATCTCTGGTGAATCCTTTCACCCTCCCGCATATCTGGCCTGCACCCTGGTTCTTGTATAAAATAAATAAATCTTTAAAAAAAAATTCATTGAGCAGGTACTAATGTGCTAAGCACTGTTCTAATGCTTGGGTTATATTAGTGAATTAAGGAGACAAAAATCCTTACTGTGTGGAGCTTAAATTCCAGGCGACAGGAGAAAGGATAAAAACAATAATGGAAGCATGCAGGTATGGACAGTCTCTGAAAAGAGCTGGCAGCTGAATTACTAAAAATTCACAGATGCTGAAATGTTTTTCACCTAGAAAAAATGATCTGGTAGAGGAGAATACCCCAATAGGTATAATAATTAAATCATTTGAAAGATATAGGAAAACAGTACCTACAAGAGCTGCAGGGTTGGTTGGCTATGGAATTATATTGCTATTGTACAGACAGGTAATTAGAAACTGAAGGCTGAGACAAAATGTGAAAGCTAGAGGACCTCTTTGGCAGCTCTTATCCTCTATAGTGGAAGAACAAATACAGCTAAGTAGCAGACTGAAGACCTGATAGTTCCAGAGCTCCAGAGTAATTTACATCCCAGCCAGGCAGGGCTCATGTTAAGGTCTAATATTAAGAGCTCTGTCTGGGACGACTTGGAACCTTGAAACATGGCTTCTGTGTGTGTCATCACCTGGCCTCATTATTTCTATGGGCACTAATGAACCCCACTCTGTGACTGTGTCTATCAGTTTTCACCGATGGAGCAAAGATACTAAACTTCTTAGTGATGCTGGTGCCTTTCTTACCAGTACATTCCTGATGGCCTTGGTGATTGGATACATGCTCCTACAGATGTAATGTTGACTCTGTAGGTCCCTCTGAAATCTCAGAGCTTGCAGAGGTGGCCTCCCAAAGTGCTGGAAAACAAGAGTATTTCAATAGATATTCCCACAAGAACGCCCCCTTTCTCATACACCTACCATTTAACCCCATTCCAACACACACATGCACACACACACACACACACACTTTGGGGCAATATGGCTCAAATTTCAGTTATTCTGGAAGCTCCTTCAAAGTGTATCTTATAGCCTTTAAATAGTGTACCATTATTTGCATTTCTCAAAGTTGTTATTTTCACATAGACTTATTTTAAAATATAAGTTTATGTTGTTTGATTATATCATTATAACTGCTAGTCATATTTTTCTAATGTCCATTTAAAATAAATGTGTAACTATAAAAATAAGAGATAGTCATCTGCATACCACTAAAACACACCATAATTTGGTAAACTACATGAGAGCATGTCATGGGGCCACAGACTTCTAAAGAACAAGATCAAGGATTTACAGAATTTAGTGACCTCACCACTTAATTGCACAAAAAGCCCACGGGGTGGGTTGACGGCAGGTTCATTTACATCTGATTAAAGGCAAAGCAGAAAGGCACAACTGCTTTACACCTATCTAGGGGTGGAACTTAGAATCTGGACCTTTCTCCTCCAAAACAAAAACAAAAACAAAAGTATTAGCCGATAGATCAAGTTCAGAGGAGCAACCGAATCAGTCCCCAGATTCCTAGGAAACCCGAGGCCAGTGCAGACCAGGAGTGCTTCACAATATTCTATATTCTGGGTGGAGCATTACGGGTTCTAAGGTTCCGTGAATTATGCTTGGAGCAAGGGCACAGTGGAAGGGGTTGTCTCAGAATCCTGGGCTGTGAGTGTTCACGGTTCCCGACAGGGCTGCTTGTCCAAGCTGGCCCCTACCCCCTGCCACAGCCTCACTGGCCGGGGACCAGCGCAACCCCGGCTCAAGGAGCCATGTGCCGGCTGCGGGCTTGGAGCCAGATCCTCCTGCCAGTTTTCCTCTCCCTCTTTCTCATCCAACTGCTTATCAGTTTCTCAGAGAATGGTTTTTCCCAAATCTCTACACACAGGAACAAGCAGAGACGACCGGCAGCTATAGAGGATGGTGAGGCATCCTGGGCCCCGGGGCTGGTGCCTCCCATGCACGCGTGACCTTGAGGAATGTCGTTTGGTTGTGGCGCCCCCACATGCTGAGATTTTCATCGTTTAAGTATTCCTTTGATGTTGGCGGAAAAACATATTTAAAGACTATGTTTTTTTTTTGTGAAATCCAGTTAAATTGGACTTGAATTAATTTGCCTTATTCGAAATGTGAAAAGTGAATAAAATGGTTTAAAATTGGGACAGTATGACCATCCCCCCCCCACTTTTGGCCTGACCTACAGTACATAAGCTTATGCTGTAAGCTGTTGGGTTTTGTTCTAATCAGATCCCGTCGTGGCCATAACTGGTCTTAGTGTTTTAAAGTCTTAGCTAATAAATTGATTAATTTGGATCTTATATTAAGAAATAATTGCTTTGGCTTGGAGACTTCTCTTGATTCCATTCCCCAGATGAAGAAATTTTGAAACAAAAATCATGCTGAGTTGAATTCATGAACCTGAAAGTAAAGAGTTTTACTAGCCTGAATTGGAATTGTATAGATAAAATAAGGACAGGGTTTGAATTACTTGGAAAATGCCCTTTAAAGCCAAGATTGCCATTTTTTATGAAAACTATAAGACAGAGTAATTACTGCTGTCTGGTTTCTAGAGTCGAAAGAGTCCAAAGGAATGTTAGTATCTGTAAGTGAATCAGCCTTCCTTAGTGAAACCAAACTCAAAGCTGTCAGTTTTACACTTGAAATGAGGCTCTCTTTTGACAGGAAGGGGGGGTGGGGAGAAGCTGAATCAAAAGGCCTGGCTTATTTCCTTTGGTCTCATCTTTCCCATGGATTTCTCGATCACTTCCTCTCCTCCCCCACCACATACATACTCCAAGAGAACTAACTGTTCTAGTCCCTGCTCCATTTTCCCTATAAATAGTGCTTAATAATACAGACTAAGTATAAAAACAGATCCCTTCCTTTGTTCCTAGCAAATAGGAATCATTCTGGACTTTTTTAAAATACTGAGAAGGGATAAAAAGGGAGTAAACAAAATAAATCAAGCATCGTAGATAACAGTCTGGCTTCTAAAGAGTGAAGTTTCTGATTCTACCTTGCCCAGTTCTACGGCTGACCAGCTCTGTCAGTGCTTCCATTCATTCTTCTACTTAAAGACATTTTTAAAATTTGAGTTCTATTTTTATCTAATAGTAGCATTTGCAAGGTCTATATACCTTTTGTTTTCCCTTTTACTGAGCTCCAACTAAGCCTGAAGCCAGCTGTCCATAACTGAAGCAGTAGAATCTTTACCATTTACCCTGCCTTTTCCTCCTCTCAACTTTATTTTGGGGACCTCCAGGATACTTTGGGGAAGGAGGAAGTAACATTCACTAGTACTTAATTTATTAATAGAAACTAGTTTGAGATTTTCCCCAGTCAAATCATATCTCTATCCAATCAAATGACTTGAAATTAAATAGAATGGTCTCCTAGATCTGAGGCAGCCTAAACGTCCCTAGATAGATAATTGGATCAAGAAAATGTGACATAACTACAATGATGTAAAAAAAAAAATAATTAAAAAAGGAAATGTGGTATACATACACATCATGGAATCTGATATAACCATAAAAGAGGGTGAAATGCAGCCCTTTTCAATAAAATGGAGGAAATTTAAGAAATTAGGTGTAGCAAAGTAAGTCAGAATGATAAAAACAATATCTGATATTTATATAGCAGACAATTGATAACGTAAAACACTTTCAAAAACAAGCGAACATCAAAAAACATCCTGAGGGCTCCGAGATTAAGAGGGAGAGGGAGAGAAAGGGACAGGGGATGGATGCAAGGGGATTAAAAAACAACAACAGCATTGAAATACCATCGTGGGTAGACTATTAGGCTGGGCCTCCCCGGTGGCACAGCGGTTGAGCGCTGGGTTGCGAAGCTGCCTGCAGCCTCTCTAGCGCCGGTTCGATCCCCGGCTGCTCCCCGGCCACCGGAGGTGGGTCCCACATGGCGCGCAGACCTCTTCTGCCGCCCACTGCTCCCCTCAGCAGTGTACTTCTGTCCTTCTGCCTGCTCTGCTCTCTGCTCTGGCTCTGGTGAATTCTCTCACCCTCCCGTGCTTCTGACTGTACCCAGTGCATGTATAAATAAATAAATAAATCTTAAAAAAAAAAAAAAGAATATTAGGCTGATTCCTAGCAGGTGGAGGTGTGGGGATATAGAAACTCGTCTATTGCTTATTCAAGTAAAATTTGCTAAAATCATTTTGAAGAAAAATTATATATTTGGGAAAATTGAAGATTCAACAGTTTTACTTTAGGAAGCTGCTCTAAAAAACAACTCCACGTATGCAGAATGAGAAATATATGTTTTCCTTGCTGTGTTATTTGGGGGAGAAAAGATTATAGTTTATTTTGCTACAAGTAGTTCTCTGTGTTTGAAAAGTTCAGAATTCCATTTGATAAAGAAAATTCACCTCTCTAATTTATATGTATACATAAAATATACTAAATATACATATGTTAAAAAGATATGAAAAGGATCAAAGAAATTACTCTTATATTCATACACAAACCAGGATTTAAAACTTATCTATCCACATTCTACGGGGAGGGGGAGGAAAAGGGATCAAAATGAGGGCAGGAAGAGCACAAGGGACTGTGGTGATGGTGCACGGGTAATTGGTGGTGGAAATTCTATGGGAACTACACTTGAGAAAAGAAAGCAAACATTGTAAGAATAAAAATTAAATTAATTAATTAAAAAAACTTATTTCTCCCACTTAACTGAAAAAACATACCAGCAATAGAAAAGATATTTATTGAAATAAAATACTATGCACTAAAAACACTGTCAAAAATAAATTTAATGGCTATAATAAATATGTTGTAAATGCTTAAATACATTTTCTTTCCTTGGGAAAAAAAAAGATAAATTATATATTAAAAGATAAATAAACAATAAATTATATTGTTTATTTTTTCACAAAACAGTAATAATGGAAATCCTAATTTGTGGGAAAGTCTCATTGCAAACAAGATGTGGACTTAATTTTTTTTTTTAATTTAAAGGACTTGTTTAACAGGAATATCTTGGCAAAACTACTCTGAATAACAAAGAAGTTACTAAAAGAGGTTTCAAATGTATGTTTTAAATATACAGTGACATTGCCAATTTGTTTTTTCCATATTGTTTTTTGCAAGTTATTTTCTAGAACATAGTTGGCTAATCAAAGCTGGATGATGCATTTCATATTTTTCCGAGTAATAGGAGAAAATAAGAGTTAGGATTGAAATAGTACCAGTGGGAAAAGTGTCTAGATATATGAAAATAATGAAGTAAAACCCTGGAGTATGGATGAATATTTCATGAAATGGGAATGACTAAATGAAATGTACTTTTGTATAAAATTGAGCAATGTATAGGCTTTGCATTTACATTTTTGCACTTAATCTTTTTTTCTCGTAGTGTGTGCTGGAAAGAAAAATTGTCATTTGTGCACAGAAAATAAAAAAGTAAGTTAACTTCCATTAAGTAGAATTATCTTGGGAATGTTATAAAATCACGCAATTTACAATTGTAGTCTAAAAGACATGCTAAACTTTGTTTTCCATTTTTTTTTTTAAATAATAAGAATGACTAATAGTAGTGATTAAGATGCATTTCAAACCATTCTTTGACATGGTTTCTAGAAATAAACAATGGAAATAATTTAGCACAAACATGTACTTCCTTCCAGAAAATTATACTGCAACAAAACAAAATTTTGCTTGAAAAAATGTATGCTGACTTTGGAAAGCACTTTTTGTCAGTCAAGGAAAAGATAGGCCCTTTGAGATGCAGTGAAAATTTCTTTGCCATTCTATTGCCTAAAGACTAGAAGGAAGGCATGCTGTTCCTTGACCACAGTGTAACCACGATTTCCCTTCTGTGATGATTAGAGGTCTGACATCATTATTTTACACTTCAGATTTAGAAGAAAGCTGAAATCTTAAGTATTGAGGGAAATGGTGTTACTTGTACAGCACAGAGCTTTGCCACCACCCTCACTGTAACATTTTACTCTAATCAGTATCAGAGGACCGATAATTAATACCAAAGACACAGACATGAAATCCTAATTTGAAAGGGGGGCCATTCTAGTAATTGTAATTTGTATCTAATAATTGTAGTAACTCTATTATTATAGTAACTGGAATTGACATGTATATAAAGATATGGAAAGAGACTTTGCTTTAAAATATTTTGTCTATAATCATAACTAAAAATTAATGACTTGCTTCCTTAATATCATCAAGCATTCAGGAAATAATCACCTTTCCCTTGTTTCATGAATTTTTAAAGTTCATTTTAATCAAGTCTGTGCATTCCAATTGTCTGATTATCCTAAAGTCTGTTTATATGTTCCTTCTCTCTCTCCCTATTTTCTTTTCTTGTTGCAACTTAGTTGTTGCAGAAATGGAATTGTTCATCCTAGAAGGTTTCCCACGGTCTGAATTTTGCTGGTCACATTTCTACATTGTACTTTATCACTTGCTTCTTTTCCTTGTTCTTCTGTTCTTGCAAAGTGGTCATTAGACTTAACCTGTAGACTCTCCACAGACTTAACCCAATTCAGTTTAATT